TTAAGTGGAAGAGAAAGACAGTCATTGCAAAGGTTAGATGTTTCATTCCCACTGGAGTTCCATGCAGCTAATACGTGACGCTCCCACGTTATGGGTAAAATGATCCACCTGATGCCAGATGTTATAATGTAAAATTAATGTACAGTGAATTGTAACAGGACGTAGATAGGGCTCTTCAGAACAAGGTTTCAGACAACTCTTTGATTTTCTCTGTGAGACTTCTGTCACCCGAGAGGCATGTTGAGAGGCCGAGGGGAACATTCAACACTCTTCATATACCTCTTTGTCAAGCCCCTGTGCACACACACACTGTCCCACTTATTTGTACCAGTGTCTTCCCCCCCATTCCTCTGTGGCCATCCATGCATATCAACTCTCCCCCGGGCTCCTTGTATCGCTTTACTTCATTATTTAGCATGTTATTTTTTCTCCTCCCTGATCTATAGTCTCCACATCACAGAGGCAGCTAATTAATTATGGATGGACTTGGGGGTGAGTTGAGGGAGATTGGTGAGGGTGGGGGTTTAAAAAAAAACAACAACCAGACACCCGCCTCATTATATATGCGCAGTGTTTTTGGAGGTTCATTAATTTCTATCTTGTCAGGCTATGCCAAATCCTTCAGAATTCCTCTGGCTTTAAAATACTTTTATTTATTTTTATATGTCGCACCCTGCTCAGGCTTTCGTCTTCAGTCTCCCTACCCCTCAGTCTCCTTCTGTCCCATCTACAGTATGTCTTGATTTTAATCTCTCACCTTCCACATATCTGCATGAACACACGCACACTCGCCTGCTGACTGTGTCATTATCTGCTCTTAGCGGATGTTAAAAGGTGTTTTGCTACAAGTAGAGATTATCTCATCAGCCCACCAAACACTTATTTTATTAGGTTTTCCCCCATGATTTTATTCCATTTGGTGTGGAATAGGGTGGCGGTTGTACACAGTCAGAGCGCAGTGAAAATGACGGGAGCAATATTTTAGAACTGGCTTGACCTAGAATGGCAGCTGCTCTCCTTGGAGAAAGCTCATGGCAGCGTTTAATCAAAGCCGGCATCTGGGTGTTGGCAGTAAGACGTCAAAAAATTTAGGTCAAGCGCTGTATGATTGTAAGAGATTGTTAAATGATGGTTTTGATTACATTTTCTCTCTAAAACACACCCAGGTATGAAATAAATTAGCTCATAAAATATGTATCAACTACAAGTACAATCAGAGTAAACATACTTCCTTTTGTTCTACATGGTAGAACTTTTAACAGAAGTAATATACAGTACATCTTCATAATCTACATAATAAGCTATGCCTTTATTGTTAATGAACGTGAACTGTGGTACTAGCCTTAGGCAGCAAAGCTAAAAGCGACCTTTGGGCGAAAACAGAGGTAATGAAAATCCTCTGGCTGCTTTCCTTTGAAAAGAATTTGTAGACTTGGGTGTCCACCACCATAAACACACACAAGATTTACACTCATTCATATACTCACAAACGGGTAGATACACCCACACATACACCAATTAGGGTGTGAGAGCTAATAGTGGATTTTTGTTTACTCAACCTGCCGTTAGTTGTGTGCTCAGAAATAAAGAATTGTTTAATTGGCATAGCAGTTTTCTGCTACAGGATCTGCATCTGCTGATGCTGAAAATTGTTATGAAGATGTCAGAATGCAAAGACAGTGATTAGTATCTCAAAATTAAGCAGATGTTTCTGTGCCAAGCTCTGGTGTGGAGAAACCATCCATGGTGTGTATTCCTTCATGCTTCCTTCCCACTTCACAAAGACAGGCACAGTTTAGTACAAATACAAGGTGTTTTTTTCTGCTCAGAAAGAGGTCCCTGGTTTGGTGCGTGTGTCTGAAAGGAAAACTAGAATCACTACTCAGTTTTCTGTTGATTCAGACGTTTACTAGAATCAGCTCACCAAACACCTGAAGGTGATATTTGGCACACTCTTTGTCGGCATATGCAGTTATTTAGAAAATCACGTTTTCTTAACTACACACTAATATACACCCCTCTCTCCTCCCGGCTGGCTGGTCCTCCCCAAATGAAACAAACATGTCACATCTGGCCAAGAAAACCATAGCATCCGTCTTCATAGATGGAATGAAAGCCAAGAAGTCAGGAAAAAGGTGGGGGGAGAGAAAAAAGGATCTCTTCCAACTTCAAACAAATCCCCCTGATGAAATATTGTTTCAGTGTACTCTGCACTTTGTAGCCCTAATGCCAGCTTTGAACTGTTTTGGCACCTGTCACAAATACCGATGAAATAGTTTCTCTCTGCAGAGCATGTTTTCCTTCTATGTCCTCTTTTCCCCTTCCCTCTTACCTCCATCTCTTTCCCAAAACGCCTTTCCATTCTGTCTTGTATCTGAGAAGCCAGGTTCTTTGTGCAGTTTTGATTTCTGAACTCTTGCAACATGTCATCCGTGAACTATCCTAGCGCTGGCTCACTTTCCAATGGCTTGTATTACCATTACAGTAAATCCTTAAAGTCTTTGATGTGAGGAACTGAAGTTTTGATTAATTTTATGTATCAGCAGGCCACTGAACTTTTCTGACAGATTTTCTTACATACAGAAATTCCTAAAACCTTTCCATTTCCTAGTATGGTAACTGAATGGTAAAGAGCTGGAACACTGCTCCTCAAATTAAAACTGCAGCAAAAATATTTAATCCTCATTTTTAGAAAATTTTACTGACCTCTATGTTGGGATGGTAGGATACTTTAAGGAAATATGTTTGCCAGAGAAAACGACATGCAGACAACTGAGCTGACATAAAATCAATAGGCAGGTGAATAAAACATTGGTTACCTGCAGTTTGCACTATAGGCTGTACTGGCTTCTGTCACAGTAGGGCCTACATGGTAACTTGAGCAGAAGGATGCTCTTTTGGCACCTCGGACAATGCAGGCCCAAAGCTTTTGACACGAGCATCCATTTTATTGAAACAGGACTTCAGAAGCCACAAGTGCAAATCAATCAATCTCAACTTTCTTCTCTGTCTGTCTCTCTGTCCATCTCTGGCCTCCTCCATCATTTTTCAAAGTGCTGTCTGAGGCTGCAGGCACTTAATTAAGTAGGATGTTGTCAGGAGCCTTGGGTATGTGGTGGAGCTAGATGGATGGAAGAATAGATGGAAGGGACTGCTAAAGAGACAGAAAAGGCGCAGGGGAAGCGGGTACTCATCCCTGCCTTCTCACATTTCCAGCCTAAAATATCTTCTCTTCATGCTTTTTCTACTTTGCATTTCTGTTCTTCCTTTCCTGGCACCAGCAGCTGTCTGACTTTCCCTCTGACTTTCCCATTTCACTTTGCTGTGTTCCAGTTTAAACTTGCCTCCTCTTCTTCCCCCTCCACTTCTCCTTCCATTCCTGTTTCCTCCTCTCCCCAACCATTCTTAATTTCCCCCTCTTTCCTCCCTCTCTTCCCCCCTCCACCATTTTCTTCCTAAGCCCCTACTCCTGTACCATCCATTTTGCCTCCCCTCTCCATTCCTCCTCTCACCCACCTTCCTCCTCTTTATCATATATCAGGTCTTCTGTAGCCCAATTTTTCCTCCTATAGTATTCTCTTCTCTCATTATGTGTTGTGCATGTGTTTGTGTGTGATCTGACACAAAAGGCCAGTGCTAAGCAAGCTAATGAACAAACTCCAGCATTGTGTTCAGGCCCCAGGGACGCTCTGTAGCTTCTGATCTACAACATCTCACAGCAGAGGAGGGGAAAGAAAAATTTACTGACACAGACCCAGCTATCTGCTTAACAGAAAGGCTCCAGCAAGAAATTAAGGAGAGCATGTGCAGTGCCTAGTGTGCAGTGAATATTTTACAAGAATCTGGTCAATGTTTTTCTAGACCAAGCTCTTCTGACTTGTCAGCACAAGTGTGTTACTTTGTACAGTAACTCGCTGTGACACTATTGGCAACTTCAGGTTCTTCTGTACTCGGACAAGAGGAAGAATGGAAGTGTTTTTGTTTTTAAAATTATAATTGTTGCATGGAATGCCAAATCATCCTGAAATAGTTTTTTAGGTGAATGATTAATCTTAATCTTTGACTTCAACCCATAATTTCAGTGCCCCCTTTCCCTCCATGTACTGTGTAGGTTAGTTCTACCCAAGCTAAGTTGTGCGGGAAATGTCTTCCCCCACCAGTTCTCAGTGTTGGCGAGTTCTGCATCGGTGCCAAATCATGACATGAACCCTGTAATGACTTCATTCCATCCAGCACATACACACATGCAAATCTAGGATGCATTGCCGTGCATACTGAGTGGACTGTCCTGTCATAGTCTGGATCAGTAACTTGTACACATGTAGATATTAAGCCACTACACATTAATAAACCTATTTGTCTTACACATCTGTGCATGGATACATACACCCTCCAGGGCTATGTTCTCCAGTGGTGTAAGTCAGCGAATGGGCTCTTTCCCCTAATGATGAAAACAAGACCCTTGCCAGCTCTGGCCAGTATTACTGATTGATTTACGCACACAAACACACACAAGCAAATACAGACTTCCTGAGTTCATTACGTCATTCCACACATGGACACAATACGCGGGAGTCTTTCTTCCTGCCATGACAATGCACCACTGTTGTGGTGTGAATAATTTTATTGGGTAGACAATATTTTGTGAAGTTTGTATGAAAAGCTCTCATGCTCAAATGTTGCTGTGCAGCATTTACATCTGGTGCAATGCCAGTGAGAATGTTGCACAAGCTTGTAGCTGATGTGAACAGTGCATCATAGCACAGCTCTTAAAGTTGAGTGTATTGTTACAAATCCGGCATGAAGTCAAATATGTAACCCTACGGCTTGCTGGCTTTTTAAAAATCTTATCAAGTTATTTATTCATCCTTTATTCTCTTATCTTTGTGCTATTTGTGCCTTGTTTGCTTACTTGTGACTGTATTAAACAAGCTTGCCCTCTTTATTTGTCTCCTTTAGATGAAAAAAGTGAAGTATTGTTTGTTTTGTTAACTCTGCAGGACTGCCCCCAGATTCTGCCTTCAACCCAGATCTACATCCCTGTCGGGGTGACCAAGCCAATCACCTTAGCAGCCAAGAACCTGCCCCAGCCCCAATCAGGACAGAGGAATTACGAGTGTGTCTTCCACATTCAGGGAGAGACCCTTAGTGTCCCTGCCCTGCGCTTCAACAGCTCCTCCATCCAGTGTCAGAAGACACCGGTGAGTAATAGTGATAAAACATTGGATTTTTGTGTAATCTGGGTGTGTAGTAGATGCCCTTTTAGTGATGTTGGTAGTGGAGAACACAGCAGCTACAGTAATGGTGGTGTGTTCTTCACTCATTCCGGGAAAGAAAGAGAAAACCCTACATCAACTACGAGAACAGAAATAATTCTGTGAGTTTTATTTAGGCCCTTGTTATTTAGCACGGTTACTCTCGACCAATGAATGCTACTAGGTAGCTAAATCAGCAGCTGTTGTTTTTGGGTTGGCCGTCTGTCCACCCCATTCTGGTGAATGCAGTATCTCAAATGCCTTGAGGCAATTTCTTCAACTTTGGCACAAATGTTGGACTCAAGGATGAACTGATTAGATTTTGGTGGTCAAAGGTCCAGGCCACTGTGACCTGGTTGGTGGAGGCATCAAACCAGAAGGTGGTAATGTATGTTTGGTTTTGGCTGGTAGGGATGAAGGATGTGAGTCTATTAATATGTTCTGAAGGATAGTCTTTGCAAATTTTTTTGAAAGAAGTTGTATTTGTTTGTATAGAGGATTTACAGTTAGGCAAAGGTGTTTGTGCATGCGGTCCTTTGCCTGTTCTGTGTGTTGAAAGATGGTTGTGTACATGTGTGTTTGCAAGGCATCAGCTAGCGTGACAAATAAGAGGTAGCTAGCAACACGCTTCACTGAGGCTGAAAATGTGAAGAGGAAGTCTGTCTCTGAACCTAGTTGGGAGCAGATTGATCATGTTTACACCTCAACTCTTTACGTCTTTCTCTCTCTGCCTCCTCTCTTCCTCCCTCCATCTGTCATACTTTCTTCTTTCTTCCTGCCATTCTCTACTTTCCTCACTGCCTCATCCTCATCTCTCATACACTCACTTCGGCTGCTTGCCTCTGTGCCTGTCTATTTCTGTCTTGGGAAATAATGCAATTAAACAACACTAAGACGAGATACGAGCAGGTGCTGTTAATTTTGTTTTAGATGAGGGTGACGCAACTGTCACCACAACGTCGCACACGGAAAAAAAAATATTTGAAACATTCAAACACCTACAAGTTGTCATGTCTGGTTTATAAGTTTTAGCACCTTGAAGAACTTTACCACCTGTCTGTATGCTCCTACATCTTGTCATAAGAGTCACAGTTTTATTCAGTCATATAGCACACATGCACACATGCACCGCATTTGATTCTGTCAGGATCGGCAGGCAGTCTGCAGGCACTGGCACATGCTAGCCAGTTGTATGTGAAGGCAGTGCTAATTAGCTAGTGACAGGGTTGTCTCTCCACAGAGATGTCTGTTTATTGACTGTTTATTGTAGCTGCAAGGCCAGTGCTAATCAACAGCAAAGCCTAGCCCCAGCCAAAAGCTGAATTTACCCATTTGATGTCCGCAAAGTAGACACGCTAGCAGCTGTCAGTGCTTAGCACTTGATAGCAATTAGCTATGCCAACTTGACTGTGTGGTCAGATATCGACACAGCACGTTCATCAAGTCTGCACAAAGCCATAGTTAGATTCAGTGGATGAAAAAGGTACCAGCTGCATGAACTCACCATTAAGACACAATTCATCCAGGCCTGGGCTTGTGAATATAATTATGTGTCATGAATTATTGTTAGGAGGAGAGTCTTATTATAGCTCTGGAGCAGTATTTCATGAGAATGTGGAACTTAAATATTAGTTTATCCATTTATAGGCCTTCACATTTTTCCTTTTCATGTGCAGCCCTCTATGTTTGTTCCTTCTTTGACAGTGTTCAGCACCAACTCAATGAATCATGTATGAATCTGCAGTAGAAATAGACTTCATCTGTTATGCTGCATACACACTGTTGCCTTGGTTTGCATGAACAGAGCTGTGTGCATAGGGGCTAATCAGTGTGTGTGTGTGTGTGTGTATACATGTGCATCCTTCAATCAGCCTAAGGCTATGGATCCCAGGATAGCTGTGTATGTGTTTGGAGTTTCCTTTAAACCACTGCAGGAAGACCGTTGGTGTTGGTGAGGTGGGGTTGCTAATCAATGGTATAAGCACAGGGGTACTAATCCACAGTTTAGCCTTGGGTTTATGATGTACATAAGACGTTACCATTGTGCAAACTGGCACATACAGTACTCACTCGATTTCTATAAAGTGAAAAAAGCAAGAGAGAGGGGGGTAAGATAGAACAAGACACATATGCAAAGAAGCTAAGGAAAGAGGACCGAAGGACAGGGGGGAAAGGACAGGAAGAGAGGTGGTACTAGCTATTAGTGGAAACGGCAAAAAAAAAATGGTGATGAGATGCTTTAAGGTAGGCTAGGGAAAATTGAGCATAGTAGACTATTTCAGGTGAGATGAATGGAGAAAAGTGAGAAGGTGAGTGATATTGAAGAGAACAGAGGGGGTAAAAGAGATGAGTGTGTGAGAGAGAAAATCAGCTCAGAAGTCTCTCCTGAGGCCAAAACTCATTCTCCTGTCTTTGATCCAATATCATCACACTATCCAAAAGAAGATAACTATCCACAGGACATTCAGGATATCCACAGGGGGATCATGTTTAAACTCCAGTTTCCCATACTTTGCTCCTTTTACAGGGGCCATAATAACTCAATACTCTTATATAGTGTTCCCTAACAGGAGGTTGTCAATAACGTACTGTATATGTGACATATGATACTGTAATTTCAGCTTCATATTATCCTTGTTTAGTATTGACTATCCATATCTGCTTATGGGGAAAAATTGTAGGTACTATGGGAGTTCTGTA